TTTGTTTGTTTTTTAATCCATATTATTCAAAGAGAAAATGAGAGAGATGATAATTCTGAGGCCACCCCATCCCAGCCATATTATTCACATATCGAGTCCCAACAGCAACATTGTAGGGATGAGCACGACAGTGCAGGTGAGCATGAAGGATGGACAATCTTCGGGGATTTTAAATTGGGAACACAACAAAACACTAACACTCAGGGATTTGGGAATAGTCAGATGCCTGCTAATATCGATGATTCGTTTTTAGATTGAATCAATGAATTGTTAAACGAATTCAATCAATGGCACCAGCCTGACCAAGAAGAACAATAACGTCGTCTATCATTTTATTTTTAGATCATATGTTACTAATTTATGCTTTATTGTAGTCCATGTATGTTGATATACTTATTCCATGATAATTATACGTTTATCCTTTTGTGTGATGTAAATTAAATGCTGAATGGCGGTTCATGCAGGGAAAGAACATATCAATATTCGCATATTGATTCAAAAACATGAAAATTCTTAATGGTGTACCCTCATTTCTTATTGAATTCCTAAAAAACAATATTTATAATGAATTTTAATAATTTATAATGGATTTTTTTTAAACTTTATTCTGACCGATTCACCAGATTCCCGATCCGGATCGCCGATTCGCCGATCCGGATCTGTTTTTTGAAAGCCCGATCCCGATCACCGATCCGATTTTTAAACCATTGGTGGGGACAATCACACAAACATGAAAATCATTTATCGTGGGAATCACAAATCACAAAATGGTTAAAATCTCAAACAGAACCGAGCTAGAAATGGATGACTGTGACATCGCATTCCGACCAAGCATACAAACATGAAAATCAAATTACTGTTTATGGGAATAAAGAATCACAAAATGGTTGAAGTGGAAATCAAAACTCACAAAATGGTTGACAACTCAGAATAGAGCCAAGCTAGTAATGGATGACTGTGAATTCGCATTCGACCACAAAGCTCCTGGTGACCGTGTTCGCAGAGTAGGTCTTAGCGAGGAGAAAGCCACGAGCAAGACGAAAGGCTCCACTCCCTCCCACAATGGACATCTCCCTTACATTCTCCATAGTGGGATTCCTCCCAATCATAGTAAGTGTGCTTCCGTTGAACTCTCCGGTCGTGAACAGAAAGTTGAGTCCCATGAAAAGGCTGAATTCAGGCTGAGATGCCAAGGCGTAAATTCCCGGCATTCTCCCTATTACCTTAGAAGTTATGGCAGGGCCCTGAGTCAGGGGGTCATCTACTACGTTCAACATACCGAAGAATGTCGGAGAGGTTATCGTGGTGTCAGCCATGGCCACAATCAAAGCCATCGCATTCTTAGTACCGCTCGCTATGTCGTGGAAGTAGAAGTGGAGATAACTCACCTTCTCTTTCCCTAGGCCTAAGCTCTTCTTCCAGTCCGCACCTGCATTGCAGGCGACAATGGAGGAAAAGAGAAGCATGAGCAAGACCAAATGATGCTAGAGAGAGAGAGAAACAAGGAGAATGGGTCAAGCCATTGGTGGTTAACGGCAGGCGCTTTAACATATCAACATAAGAGCGAAGGAGTAATTGGTACAGCCTAATAGAATTTGAAAGGAAAAGCCAATTTGATCAAATAAAATTATTGGAATGGAAGAATAGGCTCAAGGATAGGTTGTCAGGGTGGTGGTCGCCACAACATGACACCGTAAGTTTTATTTTATTATGGGTAGATGACATATTTTTTACTGAATTACTCATAACATAAAAAGGGCGCCAAGTTTATAGAGATTGTAGGATACATTCCTAACTTTAAGAGAAGAGAGAGAAAATATATACTTATTTTAGGATAACTAAATGAGAGAGAATGTGTACTCACAAGAGAGAGTAAATGGGCACGAGAGAGAAATCTACACACCCATATTATAGGATAACTAAATTTGAGAGAAAAGGAGAGAGAGATCAACCATCTTTCCATATCTTAATAAGAGATTTCCATATCCATAGTTAACTTAATATTGTTTTAATATTTAATTAGGGAGGCACAAAAGAGAAAGATTTCTAGATCCTCCTTATCTAACATTGTTTCTTCTTAATTGTTTTTAAAACCTCCTAAAGTTAGATCGGTGTATTTTATTTATTTATTTTTTATCACACATTTTTCTAAAAGTTTTGCATGCAAGTCATCCCTATTTTTTCCCTTTATTTTTTGTTTCAAACCTCCTAAAATGGGTACATATCCCCAATTCAATCCCTATTGTGCCTAACTAATAACAAGAGAGGGAGAAAGTATCGACAATTTAAAATATGATAAATATGAAAATTTAACCTATTTGATTTATATATAGGAGCAATAAATTAGGGTGTGGTTTCTATAAGGTTGCACCTTAAACAATCCAATTAAGGTGCACCTCCAAATTTTAGTATAACATGTAATTTTGGTGTAAATTTTTTTTAGGATTAGTTGAAAATCTATTTTCATATCTAATTATAAAATTTTATACTCCAAAAATGGATAAAATCAAGTAGATCTATAAAAATATGAGAATCTTGAAAATAGACGGTCTAGATAATGTGTTGCAAGATGCGCCTTTTTTGAGACTCAAAATCGTTTTTTTTTTTCATATTCATACATCTCGATGTTGAGATGATTAATTAGAGGGTTTTTCGATATTAAAACATCCTTTTCTGATAGATTTTGAAGTGCAACTCTATTTCTACATTGATGCAAACGTAAACAAACTTTTCCCATAAAATTATTGTGCCTTATTATATAATGGGTGTGGTTTCTATAAGGTTGCAACCTTAAACAATCCAATTAAGGCGCATCTCCAAATTTTATCATAACTTGTAATTTTGTTGTAAAAAATTCTTTGGATTTTCTTAAAATCTATTTTCATATCTAATTAGAAAATTTGAAACTCCAAAAATAGTTAAATCAAGGAGATCTATAAACTTATGCAAATCTTGAAAATGGCGGCCTAGAAAATGTGTTGAAAGATGCACTATTTCTGAGACTCAAAAACGTTTTTTTTTTTATATCCATACATCTTGATGTCGAGATGATCAAGTAGGGGGTTTTTCAACATTAAAACAACCTTTCTAATAGATTTTTGAGGTGCATATGTAATTCTACATTTCAAGGTTGCAACCTTACATAAACTTTTTCCTTATATAATAATGTAAATAAGAGAAAATAAAATTCAAGATAGAGAAAGATAGGCATACCATATCTAAGATTGAGTTTCCATTTTTAATGAGCGAGAGAGATTTCCATATCAATGATTATCTCCACATTTTTTCCATATCTTAATTTGAGAGAGAGAGATGACATTCTTTCCATATCTTAATGAGAGATTTCCATTAAGAGAGGCACAAGAGAGAGATTTCTATATCCTCCTTATCTCAACATTGTTTCGTCCTATTGTTTTTAAAACCTCCTAAAGTTGGTAACAATTAGATCTTGCGTTCTTTTTTTTTGTTTTTGTTTATCCATCCCTTTCCTAATACTTGTACATGCAAGTCATACCCAAATTTTTTTCCCCTATTTTTTGGTTTAAACCTCCTAAAATGGGGACCTAACCCCAACTCAACCCCTATTGTGCCCAATAATCACGAGAGAGAGAGTATCGACAATCTAAAATATGAAAAATATGAAAATTTAACCTTTTTTATTATAATAATATATAAAAGACCAATAAAATTTATTTTATTATA